TAAAGCATGTATATGTATAAATATTTGCATTATAATTATATTAGTAATTGTAATATGTAATTATTACATAATAAACAATATTTGGCAATTATGCCGTAATTTTTATAACTATAAATAATTTTAATTGGATCTGACCCATTTGCGAAAAAATTAAAAATAATTTAATTTATTTTGAAAATTTCAAAATATTTCGAAATTAAGTCTATCCCACAATAGTATTATATAGTCTATCCTACGATAGTATTATTTAATTACACTGTTTTATTGAGGTATTTGCAATAATAGAGTTTAATATAAACCGGCTATTTTGCATTTTAAATATTTCGAAATATTACATAATATTCGAAATATTTCAAAATATTTCGAAATATTTCGAAGTAATTTGAATTTTTTTGTTACAATCTTTTGCAGTTTTTTGCAAAAGTTTTCGCAATATTTCGAAATTTTTTGTGAAATTTTTCGAAATTAATTTTTTCGAAATATTTCACATCGATCGCAATAATTTCGAAATATTTTGGTACTGCAATTTCTTTCGCAATATTTCGGATTTATTTTTTGCTGATGGATGCACTTAAGGATGAATCAGTTAACCATGCCAGTAATCCTATAGATGAATATGACAATCCTAAAACTTGAACTGACTAATGTATTGTATGTTCTGAGTAGTATTCAAAATAAGCTGGCTTATCATAGTTTGCTATGGCTTGAATAGCTTATTATATGATAAATTCGAATTTTTCATATGATATTCTCGAATTTGTCACAGTAAAAGTAATAAATTCAAGAATATCACATGACAAATTTAAATTTATTACATAATAAGCTATTCAAGCCACAGCAAGCCATAATAAGCTGGCTTATTTTGAATACTAGTTCTGCATGAAGTTAGACAGATTAACATAGAAAACTCAGATTAGAGAGTTTAATTAGATAACTCAAGTAATAGTAGATTATAGGTACAGCATCTAGTGTAGCATTTAGCATATAAGTAAAATATTAATTAAGCACCCAAAAAGGTACAGATATGGCTAGAATGTATTCTCATCAGAATGTACTTGTCTGGTACTTCTTTGAATGGGCACTATATAATTCTAAATCTAATAAAAAACAATAAGCCAAAGAGGCTAACCTTGACTATAAAAAAAAGTTTAAATGAATAAGAGTATGATGACTTAATATAGTTAGTAAGTTGTTGCATCTTCAAGCAGCAGAACAAGAGTTCAAATCTCACTGATAACGAAATTCAAATTTATAGAATATGTTATAATAAAACTGTATAATATATTGATCAGATAAGTATTTGTAACTTTGGTTATATCAGCTTGTACTAGGAGGTTGCAAAATGTTAGTATAATATATGAGTAGAGATATTATCTGAATAGAACCAACCCGTGCAGGTCAGCAAATTTGACAGGTCATACGAATCACAGGTTATTATCATATTGATCCTGCTCAAAAAAGATTAGTATAGTAAAGATACCCATCAGATCCAAAGCTAATTCTGGAAGAATAGTAAATATACAAGCGAAAGTACTGAAAAAAAGCGAATGGCGTTAGTAACATAGTCATAAAAAAATAATAATAATCAATAAGCACAAAAAACAAAAAGCACAGAAAGATACCACCAAATCCGAAGCCAATTCCAGAAGAAGAGCGAAAATACCGAAAAAAAAAGAGAGAAGGATGTTAGTAAAATAGCTCATAAACTAACAAACAAAACAATAGGTATAGTAAAGATACCTTTCAGATCTGAAGCCAATTCCAGAAGAGCGAAGAGGCAAGCGAAACTAGCAAAAAGAGAAAAGTGTGAATAACAACTCACAAACAAAAAATAACAAAAGACAATTAGTACTGTAAAGATACCCACCAGATCCGAATCCAATTTCCGAAGAGCGAAGAGAACAAGCGAAACTACTGAAAAAAAAGAGAAAGAAGTTAATAAAATAGCTCAAAACAAAAAAAAAAACCAAAACAATAAGCACTATAAAAGACACCTACCAGATCCGAAGCCAATTCCAGAAGAAAAACAAAGAGGACAAGCGAAACTAGCGAAAAAGAGAAGGGCATTAGTAACAACAAAAAAAACAAAAGACAATTAGCACCAGATCCAAAACCAATTCCTGAAGAGCGAAGAGAACAAGCGAAACTACCAAAAAAAAAAAGAAGGAAGTTAGTAAAATAGCTTACAAACAAAAAAAAAACAAAACAATAAGCACTGTAAAGACACCTATCAGATCCGAAGCTAATTCCAGAAGAAGAACGAAGAGGACAAGCGAAACTAGCGAAAAAGAGAAGGGCATTAGTAACAACAAAAAAAACAAAAGACAATTAGTACCAGATCCGAAACTAATTCCCGAAGAGCGAAGAGAACAAGTGAAACTACCAAAAAAAAAGAGAAGGAAGTTAGTAAAATAGCTCACAAATAAAAAAAAACAAAACAATAAGCACTATAAAAACACCTACCAGATCCGAAGCCAATTTCAGAAGAAGAACGAAGAGGACAAGCGAAACTAGTGAAAAAGAGAAGGGCATTAGTAACAACAAAAATAACAAAAGACAATTAATACCAGATCTGAAACCAATTCCCGAATAGCGAAGAGAAAAAGCAAAACTACCGAAAAAAAGAGAAGGGCGTTAGTAACATGGTGCACAAATAAAATAGAAAAAAAAAAATAACAAAAGACAATAAAATTAGTACTGTAAAAATACTTATTGAAACTAATTCCTGAAAAGCGAAAAGAGCAAGCGAAACTACCGAAAAAAAAGAGAAGGAAGTTAGTAAAATAGCTTAAACAAAAAAAAAAACAAAAAGCATAATAAAAATACCTACGTACCAGATCTGAAGCAAATTTTGAAATAAGGTGAAAAAAAAGAAACGGGGTTTACTAAGATCAGTATTTATATAGTAATACGTATTACCCTAAATAAAAATGTTAAAATAAGAAAATCTATTTGAATCAATTAAAAAAAAATAATGATAATAGATCAAATCTAATTTATATATATGTACAAAGATTATTCAAATAAAAGAAAAAATTTATTTTAGAAAAATTTTTTTTGAAATAGAAGTAAAAGTAAAACAATGAAACCTGCGATGTTATCTGTATTAGATCAATATTTATATAGTAATACGTATCACTCTAAATGAAAATGTTAAAATAAGAAACCTATTCGCATTAATTCAAATCAATTCAAATCAATTAAAAAAAAACCAAAATAACGATAATAGATCAAATCTATTTAAATTTATAAAAATGAAATTTATATGTATATACATACATATGTATGTACAAAGATTATTCAAATATAGACTAATTTCACAATATTTTGAAATTATTTTGGTCAAAATTTTTCGAAATATATTTCGAAATATTTCGAAATTTTTACTGAAATTTTTTGAAAATTTTATTTTTCGAAATATTTCGAAATTTATTGTGTTTGTTTTCGAAAGTTTTTTGTAACGCAAATTCTTTCACAATATTTCACATCTTTAAATTTGCTGATGTCATCTGCTAAAGCAGTCCTGTATCCACCATTTCTGTATTGTCTAGTCTTTTTCAGTAACTTATGCTGAGTCTGAGAACAAGTACTTGCGAACCGAAGCTGCTACAGTTATCTACTACTGTCCTTATAAAGTTCACCCAAACCCTGATATATCTACAGACTATTACCAGTATTTTAGCTATCCCAAACTACCAATCCAGATAACCCAGAAGGGCTATGATCTGCTTCTGGTCCCCACAATTAGGTATTTTTCCTCCAGTTACTCTTCTGATGGCTTGGTTAGTAGAGTGCCTTGCTGAATACTTTGATTCCATTCAGTTTATCCAGTTCTCTGAGTATTAATCTGCATGTAGTACCATTAAAGATCTGTGCTACTTCTTTATTTAGGACTTTCTAAGTAAGCGCCTCACTGCCATATTGGCCCTATAGCTTTCTGTGATTCTGAAGGACTTATCTTGGATTTGCATTAACTAAACTGGCTTGCATGCTTTTGTGTAACTTCTTTATTACACAAATGCTTCAAAATCTTCAAATTTTTATCTTGGTACAACCACAGTTATAGAGTCTCAAGTTTTCTTAGCCATGATAATAGTTGCTGAATCCATTTTTCTAAATTCAATTTTTCACCTTCTGTGAGAATTGAACTTATACTTTATTGCTTAGGGGTGCAACAACTTCACTACTTTACTAAGTTGCTACACCCCTTTATTCAGTTAAACTTTTTATATGATACTTTATTAAAAAAATTATATAGTCAACTCTGTCTATTCTAACCATTCATTCTTATATATAAAATTAGTTAAAAAGTTCAATTCTCAAAGAGTTATTATTAGCTAATCCGAACTTTATAATAAAATTTACAAATGTTTTAGAGTTTTTCGTTCGGATTAGAGAGAATTTAATAGTATTCAGATTAGAGAGAGTTGACTATATAAAGTTTAAATTCTAGCCATATAATCACTCTAAAACCAAAACAATAAATAGTCTTTATTTAATAACAGCATTGACTGAAGAACTACCTGGTTATACTTTAATTACAATCAAAAATCTACTTTCAATATTACAAACTTTAAATTTAACCAACTCAAATCTTTTAATAGATGATTCTCTAGTGAACTGAAGAATGATCATAGTATAATTATATATACTACTAAAATAGATTTTCAAAAAACTCTATTTTGTTTTTATTAAAGCAATTTAGAATTTTTTATATACAAGAACAAATCTAATTTAGATAGTTATATTCTTTATAATTTTATCTCTTTAAAAAAAGTGTCAAAAAATTTTATCTTTTAAATAAAATAAATCAAAAACAATTTCGTCTTCAAATTTTAATTTCATATTCTGAAATCTAAAATAATTTCATCAGCATATGCAACATAGTTCTATTTGTAAATTATTTAAGACAAAAATGTGGCATTCATTCAAGAAAACCTTTTCTTATTAAATAAATCACTTTGAGCTTCTAACAAAAGTTATAAAGCTTATCAAAATATATCTAATGGTAGTAAGAACATTAAAATTAGCTTGATGGTTCTTATAAAATCTTTAAAATACTTCACTAACTATATAAAATTTTCTTTAAAAAAATTGATTTTCTTTAAAGAATTTTATAATATATATTTGCAAAATGTTTTTTAAAGATTTCTCAAGAACTACTAAGTTAATTTTAATGTTCTTATTACCATTAGATACATTTTGATAAGCTTTACAACTTTTATTAAAAGTTCAAAGGTAATTTACTTAATAAGAAAAAAGTTTTTCTTAGATGAATGCTATATTTTTTTAAAAAATCTCTATATTTCCATCTATATAATTTACTTATAGAACTGTGTTGCATTACACTATAAAAATTCATCAGTTTACTAAAAAATTATCAATTAAAATCAAGATTCTACTCAATAAACTATTAACTTACTACATTTATTACTTTAAAACTCTAATTGCTTTTATTACAATTCTTTAAATTTATTCTTATACTGATATTACTATTATAACTCAAAACTACTTTGTCAAATTATTATCTATACTACTACTTAGTATTTTAATTCAGCTAAATTAGATTTTATAAACAACTAGTTAGAAAATTTTATTTATAAAGTTTATAATTATAAAGCATTTTATCAAGCCACTTTTTCAACTATACTTATACTATTTAAAATTATACTTAAGAGTTTAATTCCTATATTATTAATTAAAACTATTTAAAACTATAGCATCTCATACAAGCTTGCTTCTTAATTAGTTACTAATTTGCTTTTTTAAATTAATAAACAAATATATGGGGGGGAGTTAGTAGAAATAAGACAAATTTTTTCTAAGTAAAAGTTTTCTTAACTTTAAATATAAATATCTTGTCAACTATCTTATTAAATCTAATA